CGAAGCCGAAGAAATTGTTGCAAGATATATGGGACTCAACGCCCCAGGTTGAGATCGAAGCATGGATACCAGATTTCTTGCATGCTTGAAAACGCTCACGACATTCATGAAGACGTTCTTGCTGCGTTTGGCAAGGCTATTTGGTAAAGCTGCGAGATATTGGACTAGACCGAAGCCGGTCTGCATAGGTCGAAGAAGAAAGATCTAAGGATCGTTCTCTTTTACCCATTCATCTGGAGTGCTCACATGTTCAGCTCTGGAAGCTCATCACACGAAATTTATCCGCTCTCAGATCGTTATTTCGACGGTCGTGCAGACCAAATCTTAGGTTTATTACCCTGTCCCCTCAGCACTACCTTACAGATAGCTTCATCGTACTAGGCTATTGATGTATGCAACTCCCTCAGCTCTATCATCGTCATCCTCTATATAGCTTTGGTCCTTTCGGAAGACGAAGTTGGTCGCATTGGTGGCATAGCTCGGCCATTCGGGAGCTTGGGATACTGCAACACGCATTAGTGTACTATTACCCACACAATGAAAGACATTCACACTTACGTCCATGACCATTAGGATCAAGATCGTACGCGAAAGAAGTCCACATGCGCATCACGAGCTCCGACAATGCAATGTTTTCGGAGCTGTTGCCCAATGGGGTAAGCTGCTGTTCTGGGTTTCCAAAAACGAAGGGTATCTGTCCTAAGGTCAATTCTACAGTTCTCCTCACATCCCACTGATAGCATAGTACTGACCTCGGAGAAGTGATTGACGCCGATTGTTTCCGGTGTGTTGTTGAACTTGGGCGCATCCCATCGATACGAGTAGACCTGATCGACATGCTCACTCATGCTTTGCGCGAGCAATCTCCGAGGAGCATACATGGTCAGATCAGTTGCGATACTTTGGTAGCGTTTGTATTGTAACCCAAACTGCGGCCATGTGCGATTTCCCCATCCGTACGGCTCGCCGAGTGTAGGGTCGTTCGGGTACAGCTCGAGAAGTTTCTCCGCGACAGTCTCGTTGACGTTCCAGCGTTTGGAGTGTACCAGTTGATTGATAGCGTCGGAGTCGCTGTTCACCCCGTTCACACCAAAGCCTTCGTCGGTGTTGGTGCCAAGTATGAGGGGTATCTTCGCAAACTTGCCTTCTTGCAATGATTGTTGACCGTATCGAGGTATCAGGCTACCGTCGATGACGTGAAACCATTCAAGACCTTGGTAGCCATATGGTGCGATGGTCTCATAGGGTACGTCACGAAGACACTGGAGCGTATCCTCGGCACCTGAGCAGCCGACCGACTCAGTCAGATTGTCGTACATGTGCTGGTACCAGTCGGTGCCATTGAGTGGTGCACCAACAGCATTGCCGCTTTCTAGGATAGCCGCGCGAAACAGGCCTTCGTTATCGCCGTTGTATGCAGCGATGTGGTCACCAACGGAGTATGCGCCCGCTGATTCTCCCCAGATTGTGACCTTCTCAGGATCACCACCAAAAGATGATATATGCTTGTTGACCCACTGCATCGCGAGCCGTTGGTCGCGAAGTCCTAGATTCTGTGCGCCGGCGGCCTCAACTTCCTTACTGTACAAGAAGCCAAATGCTGCCATGCGGTAATTGATCGAGATGCCGATGACGGGCTTGTTGTTGAATACTGATTGCTCAACGATGTAGCTCATGTTGTATCTGGCGTTAATGAGTATTTCATCCCAGATGCAGTCACTTCAGACAGCTTACCTTGGATCACTAGTAGCACCCTGCTGCCATCCGCCTCCGTATATCCATAACAATATCGGGAGATTTGTCTCATTCGTCCTTGGCTTGACGATGTTCAGGTGTAAACAGTCCTCTCCCAGTCTTGTCCAATTTGCGGCAACCAGGGTGTTTGTGTCTCCACCATACCCTGTGCAGTCAACACCGTACTGCGTGGCATTGTGGTATACTGTAGGCGAATCCGGTGCTAATTGAGCGGGAGCGAATCGCACTGGCTTTGGAGCATACTTGACACCTAGGAATAAGTCTTGGTCGAATTCCTGCAGGAAACGTCCTTGGTATATGCCAGCTTGCGAATGAACGATTGGTGATGATGCAACAGCGGGAGTGGCGAAGCACACAGCGGCCAACCAAGATTTTCGAAGCTTCATGGCGGAACGATCTGGGAAATTGCGCCATGCTTGCAACGCATATGCATTCGCTCATATACAACAGCTGCCATCTGAAGCCTCTCCATGAGGCTGTACGGAAGCGTCGTTGCTGAAGATCCACCAATGAGAAATATGAATACATCGCCGTCTACATAACCGGTAGTCATTTGCCGAGCTGAATCACTTTAGAATTGTCTGCGATCTTGGCATTGCAATTGTTGCTTGGTAGCCCGGGCAAAGCGCATCGGAGCAGCTGTGAAAGACGTGTCAGCTTTACGAACTGTATAGGTCACGTACGTGGTGCCTGATGTGATCACATACAACTGCGAAGCCGGTCAGCAGAGTCAAGACGATCGTGATGTCACATTAGCCGGCGAGTTGATGCAGCTCGGTTGATGCATATTAGTGGCTGGTCCGGGGTAGATATTCGCTCCACATTACCCCGCAAGCATCACGATGTGCCGTGCATAAGGCACCGTGCGCAGGTCATTCATCCGGAAACTTGGTCGAAGTCCGGACAGGTTGCACAAAACATCACAAACCCCAAGGAACCTGTCCGGAATAATTGAAATTCCGCCCTATCTGAAGAGACTGGTTGGACAGTAAAGGGACCGTTAAAGAACACAACGAAAGAAACCTTGGGATCAATTTAAGCCGACGCCAAAGAAAGCCCTGCGACTCTTCACGTGACTTACATCCGTCACGCAGAGGCCCTCATAGGCCATGTTCTCTTTCAGTAATGTGGCACCACATTTGGTCTTGCAAGAAAACGCCGAAGTAATTCTTAGATCTCCACGGTTTCTCTGGGCTTGCAAGAGACCAATCGAAATGCCGTAGGAACTAGACACAAGTCAGCATGGGGACTCTGCACGAAAGTTTGGAACAACGTACCTCGAAGATGACCTTCCTCATCTCCAACCATGCTATCGGCTTCCCGAGACACTGGTACTTGCCATACCCGAAGATCATGTCTGTGGTACGGCGCATAGCGTTCAAGCGCTCAAGCTGGATGTCGTTGTGCTCATCGAGTAGCCAACGTTCCGGTCTGAAGCAGTCGACATCTTCACCAAATATCTCTTTGTTTCGATTGAGGCCCATTACGTTATACCCAATGTTGGTACCGCCAGGAAGGAAATACGCTTTACCGTTGATTGTGACATTGTCGCCTTCGACTGGTACCTTTTTCGGAGCAATATCAGTTACAGGTGGGTGAATTCGGAGCCCTTCACGCATTACGGCTTTTAGGTATGGTAGGCTCTTCATCGTCTCGTCAGACACAATACCCGGCGACATAGCAGCATGACCTGAAGTAACGGCAGCGTCAATCTCGGCCTGCAGCTTTTTGTATGCCCTATGGCTGGTCATCAGGTAGAGCATCGTTCCACGTATAGCAGTCGCAGTCGTGTCAGACCCTGCTAGAATCGTGAGCATCGATTCAGTTACGATATCGTCGCGTGTCAATCCGTGGCGTATGAACGACGAAAGCATGTCCGAGCGACTATTGGTGGGCTTCTCTAGACGCGAATCGATGAGTTCCCGAGCTACCGTTCTCATCTTTCCATAACCACTCTTGTCCTTGTCTGAGGGCCCGAGCATGCGCGCGATGGGTGGCCAGTGGAAGTAAGGTGTCAGTCCAAGGGCCCCGATGAAGACCATAATTGCCAGCCCGACTCGACCAGCGCTTATATAATCGTCGAGGTCAGCATCGGCTTTAATGTCCCCAAACGCTTTACCGAAGCCGATTTTGCTGATCACGTCGAGAGTAAGATACTGAATCTTACTGGCGAGATCTACGGGCTCGTGCCGCGTAGCAGTCGAAAGATACTTTGATCTGATCAATTTCAGAAGCTGCTGTATGTATTCGTCCATGTCAGATTCCAGGGACACATTCTCTTTGCCTGAGTACGCAGACGCCATCTGTTGGCGCCGCTTCGTGTGCTGCACCTCATCGAGTTGGCTAAAGACATGGTCCTTCCCAACCTCCATCCGCACGGCAGTATTGTACCATGCTGTGCGAGTGTACGGCGAGCGCACTGCGTTCATATGGGCTAGCAGATCTGGCGAGGATGTGAGGAGGTCGTTGGGGCCGATGCGAGCGAGGACGCCTGCAGTTTGGCGCTGTCAGCAAGGGGCAAGCGGGCCGCACAGGGGCGGGACGGCGCCTCTCCCGCGCAGCGACCTTGGGACTTCCACCTATCTACTCACCATATTCATCGCCGACGGCTTTGTACCAGAGATGCGAATGTCGACTCAGTATCGCGCGCATATGCAGCAGTTCACACCATCCCGAGCTAATCGGACCAGGGAAGGCTCGAAGGCGCCGGTAGCGAACGAAGGTCGCCACAGCATAGGCCACAAGAATGACTGCTACGAGTAGCCATTTCGCCGCGTAGAGCTGCGCAAACAAAGACATGATGAATATGCGATATGCTCACCCAAGAAAACGGACACGAGTCAGGCTACTAATGAACCTTCCTGTTGGAGCGGGGTCGCTCGCTCCTGCACGCATCTCACCACAAACGCATGCTGCGATGCACAGCAACGCTTACGAAGTCTGACTTACAACGGAGGTTAGGACCAATGAGCACTTCATACCGATCACAAGCGGTCCACACGACCGGCAGATGCCAACGCGCACTATCGAGTGCCAATGACACGAGCGCTCGGGTGGCACAGCAGCATAGCAACGCGATAGCAGCGACATAAGAGAAGACGCTCGCTAGACGATCGGAGTGATACCTTTCGAACGGACAGCCATGATTCCACGAATTCTATCAGTTGGATTAGCCGTCACTTGCGCTAATGCGCTCCCACGCGCTGCTTTCAAACGCCACATCTCAGAGCTTCGGCCTACCTATGATGTCGTAATTTGTGGTGGAGGAACTGCTGGTCTTACAGTAGCTGACCGACTTACTGAGGCCTTCCCAGAGAGCAAGTCCTCACAATCGTCTACAAAACACTTTTGGTTGACCTTCATCGCAGAAACAGTGCTGGTTGTTGAGTACGGCGAAGTCGCATATGCGCCAGGGGCATTTGATCCGCCCAGCCTCGTTTGGGGCGGGCCAACTGACAAGGCGGGATACTTCACATTCAACTCAGTACCTAATCCGGAAATGAATGGCAAACAGGCTTTGCTGTTCGTTGGTCAGACTGTCGGTGGCAGTAGCGCCATCAACGGCCAGTACTTTGATCGCGGATCTAGACATGACTATGACGCTTGGACTCAGATTGGAGGTCCTGAGTTTGCAAACAGTACGGCCAAGTGGGACTGGGAGAGCCTGTTTCCCTACTTCAAGAAGGTGAGTACCGTTGCCGCTCGTGTCTGATGTTAAGCTGACTCGATATAGAGCGTGACCTTCACTTCACCAGAGCCAAGCGTGGTGGAACAGTATGGGTTCACTTGGGACATGTCCGCGTATGGCGGCACGACTCCCATCCATTCGAGTTTCCCACCTTTTCTATGGGGCGACATTCACCTCGCAAGGGATGCTTGGAGAGATATGGGTATCCGAGCCCTAGATGAGTGTGCAGGTGGTGACAAAGAAGGCATGTGTTGGGTACCCATATCTCAGCATCCAGTCACGGCCAGGCGCTCGCACGCTGGTTTGGGCCACTACTCCGACGTTTCGGGTAGACCAAATTACGACTTGCTGGTCAAGCATCAGGTCATCAGGGTTGTCTACACTGACGGCGTCTCACACGGGCCACCACGGGTAGAGATACGATCTCTTTCTAACGATGAAGTGTTCAATGTAACCGCCAAAGCCGAAGTTGTCATTTCTGCCGGCGCAATGCACACACCTACCATCCTACAAAGGAGCGGCATTGGCCCTGCAGCTCTCCTCAATGACTTGAACATCACCGCGGTACTGGATCTTCCTGGAGTAGGCTCAAACTTGCAAGATCACTCTTCTCCCGGCATATCGTGGAACTGTGAGTATCCAGGTTGCTCGTTAAGGGTGACACTCTGATCACTGACTGTGTCACAGATACGAAGCCTGGCAACTTCTCCAATATGCCTTCAGACATGCTTGATCCTGCTTATGCCGCCAGAGCAGTAGCAGAGTTCAATATGACGCCAGCACGAGGCCCTTACACGTTGGCCATGAGTAATACTGCCCTGTACATCTCACTTCCTAACGTGACCGAAGAGTACATGGAAATCATTGAGGAGATGCGCAAGACGGCTGATAGCGACTCAGCGGCTGCTCATTTGCCAGAGAACTCCGACCCAAGCCTTGTTGCTGGCTACAAACGTCAACTTCACGTCCTTGCCGACCTTCTCGCAAACCCAGAAGCCCCCAGTTCAGAAGTACCCTTTGCGACTGGGACGACTATGCGTCCTATTATTCTCCATCCACTAAGTCGCGGTACTGTTCACCTCAATTCAACCGACCTGTTAGCTCAGCCCATACTTGATTACCGCGCTGGCTCCAGTCCCGTCGATTTTTCCATTCATATTGCGCATATCAAATGGCTTCGTAAGGTACTGGATACTCCGACTATGCGCAGGTACGGTGCGGTCGAAGCCACTCCTGGTCCAGCTGTTCAGTCAGATGAAGACCTCAAATCTTACATAAAGAGTTCCATGGTACTCTCGCATCTGCACCCATGCTGCACAGCTGCGATGATACCGAGGAATCTGGGAGGCGTGGTAGGACCAGATCTAAGGGTGCATGGTGCAGCCGGATTGCGCGTTGTTGATATCAGTATTCTGCCTTTCCTACCAAGTGCACATACGAGCTCAACAGCGTATGCGATTGCAGAGAAGGTCAGTGGGATTGTAAATGTTGCAGGATATACGCTAACGTTGGACAGGCTGCGGACATCATCATAAACAGTCTATAAACCATCATTGTCAATACCCAATAGAGACTATAACGTGTTATAGGTAGCAGATATATAGTACAATGCAACTGTTGCATGATGGATAGTATTCACGATGTCAAGAGACGTCGTTCGACTTTTACATCTGCGGACAGCTTCTGCAGTTCTTGACTTAACTCGTCCGCCGCAGCATTCAGTTTCGCATCATCGATGGCTTCCAGCGCATCCAGAATGAATAGTACATTCGATGTGCCGTCGCTCAATGCAGTCCTCGAGCATTGCCTCCAATTCCAACGTCTGCACGTCACACCACCATCGTCGCACCAGACTGCCTCTCCAGGACTCGGGCTCTCAATGACGACTTCGCCGCCAGATTTCGTGTCGAACTTCTCGTCGCCTTTTGCGCGTATCAGGAAAGGGCTTCCTTGGTATTTGTCAAGATCCTCGCCTCCAAGAGGGAGTTGATGTTTTATGGAAATCGCGTTGTAGATGTCTGTCAAGCGATTCACACGCGGTAGGCCTGCATCAACACGACGTAACAGGGCTTCGAGACTGTTCATGGTCTTCTTGGGCTTGGCGCCGAAGGCTTTGTAGGCTTCCTTCCATTGTGCCACGTGCGCAATGTCGTTCACCGGAGTTTTCGTGAGTACTTCTTTGGCTGATGCTTCTGCCAAGGAGAGGAAAGCCTCGCTTGCTGAGTCGGAAGGGCCTGGTGGTATGTTGCTGACGACCATAAGTAGAGCGCGATAATCGGGCCGGAGTTGGAAGATCTCTGGAGCGATGCGCGCGTTGGCAAGATAACTTGAAGGGTCTTGGATGTTCGTCATTTTGGATGTAGTTGTATATGAGCGACGAATATCAGCTAGTCGAGGTCTGAATACAGGTGCGATGGTATGCAAGGAGCGTAGAAATGTACACATGCTGGCTCTTTGAAGCCATCTCGGTATTTAACCATTGTCTACGCTGTTAAGCTAAGCGCTTTAATTTTCCATGTTTGGAACCGGACTTCCATATTTGACCACAGGGCGTGGAAGCGGAAGTCTCTGTTGACAACTTGACATGGACCAGTCTAGCCGCTTTCCGCTGCGGCTAGCGTGGTGCTAGTGAAGACCTGGCACCCACCATCGTACATCGTCGCGTGCAATCAACGCGCGCACACATCGGCGTCATCGCCACCCAGCATGTCGTTCCTGGTCAATCCATTTTCTCGGTCATCTCAGGCTGGTAACGCATGGTTTTGCGCTGGCGCAGTGACGTCGTACCCAAACCTCGACGATTCCGCGCGCGTCGGCGAACAGCGCCCCTGCGGCGAAAAGTATGTGGCTGGATGCCGGGTGTTTCACGTGCCTCGCGACGACAGCTCCAAAGCCACAGAGGTCGCAATTGATGACTGGAAGGACCCCGAAGTTGGTGGCGATGCAAAGGACCAAGTAATGGTATTTCAGTACAAAGGAAAATTTGTTGCGGTGAACCACGTACGTCACGACATTGGCACTATGTGTACTGGGCTTATGTTGACCAAGACCCGCACAGGAATGCCCGCACTCTTCTTATCCACTCTCTAATGGTACACCCTTCGATATCGAAGACTTTGGCGTCGTGCTCAGTTCAGGCATCCAGTGTCCAAAGCACGACTGGTCGTTCGATCTTCATACCGGTCGATCGGACCGCGGTAGCTATAGGCTTCAAGTTTGGGAAACCCAGCAAAGGCCAGCAAGTGAAGATCAAGAGGTATGGGTCAGAAGAAAGCAAAGAATCGGATAACATAACACGATGTGGACCTACACCCAATGTCGCGAACGAACGCTTGACCTCATCAACGGAACAGTTTCGTATTAGCACACTATCGCATGCGCTATTCTCTACAACTTGATCCCCGTTACTTCGAAAGTCTGCACCATGTTCTTCTCGAACTTCGACCAGAACTTTGTGCCGCTGATCGTGGTATCGAGATGCTGCACATAACGATCACCGCTTCCAATCTGGGTGCTCCACCTCGAGACAGTTGCGCCGGACGAAGGACGCCCCGAGAACCCTGACAGCTCAAAGTTTATATACTGTGCAGCGTCCCAGTTCACGGCCACGATGACCAACAACGACTTGCTAGCATCGTAGGCAGCAACAACGTTGTCTCGGCCACCATCGAGAATTTTCATACCCGGGCGCATGTGCCGGGCGAACTGCGCAAGCACGTAGTACTTTTGTGTCGATTTGCCCAGCGTTTTCGCATCATTGTCCGCGTCGATGAGGCCCCAGCCTCCCTGGTCGAGGACTTGCCAGTACTCCCACGCCGTAGGCTTCAGCTGGCGAAGATCCTGGAAGAGGTACTTGGCAAGGTTCTCGCCAGAAGCCACGCCATCACCGTATTCGCTGTTCCAGAGGGATTTCCCGGCCTGTGTAGCCAGTGTGTGAACACCGGCGCGGTCGCCGCTTCCGTACTGGTAGCCATGAACATTGATCCGGTCGATCTTGCTGAGTGCGCTACTGCCGATTGTCTTCAACGTGGTGGCAGCTTGATCGTAGTACGACTCATCTGAGGCGGCGATCTTTGTTGAGAGCCCACGATTCGAGAGCTGCGTGTCGAGATAACCGACGATCTTGGCTTGGGTGGACACATCAACGTGGCATCCTTCTTGGGTGCCGTCGGCCTTCCACCAGTTCGCACTCGGCTCGTTGAAAGGGTCGACAGTTTCGAATTCGACTCCCCAGTTATCCTTGAAATGCTTTGCGACCGTTGCCATATAGACTGCATGCTGCTCCAAGTTCCACGATTGGATGTTTTCGCTTCCGTCACTTGCGCCCGAAGGATTGTGGTTCTTGGTCATCCTGAACAAGTCAATACGTCACACACATTTTGTCCATGAGTTGTACCTACCACCACATCGGTGCGTTTGAGAACAACTCTGTTTTGTCTGCTCCACGTGCGATCGCTTTCTGGAGTGCTGCTCGCTGGTTGACATCAACCGTCCTGAAGCACAGACGGTGGTTAGTAAACAGCCTCGTGTCACACCGGGGAGGTAGATATCATACCAATTCCAGCTAGAAGAAGCAGGGTCGCTGCTCTTCCAGTCCAACCAGTAGCCTTCCATCTGCCTCGACCTTTTTACGTTTGGAGACACCACCATCTTCTCCCCATCGATGGTGTTCCAACTACAGGCGCCGGCATTGTAGCGTACGATGTTGAAGCCAAGACCCGGAAGAGTCTCGCCGTTGAACTTGGTCTGCTTCAGCGTAAAGAAGATATCCGCAAGATCGTCTCTGGTGCCAAATTGCTGCGCCCACCATGCCAACGACGTTCCCCAGCCTTCCCAAGTACCCCAGTTCGATTTTGGGTCAATTGTGGTCGTCACATCGGCGTCAACTGAGTAACTGCTGGCCAGCACCACGGCCGCTCTGATGAAGGTTGATGTACGCATTGTAGTGTGGTATTAGACGGAGCGGATGATGTTCTCTACATACTCTCATCGTCGCTCCCTTATTAAATATAGCAATCGACTCAATCTCGGCGCCTCATTCAGGTAACGCGCCCGCACACACCATCTTCTCACTAACTTCCACTTGGCTCTTGGATAATGCTGGAAGCGGGGTAGTCTATATACGATGTAGTGGTACTACCTCGGCGCTCGACCGTTTCCTTGCGGCGAAGCCTTAGACGACGAGCCACTCACAACATCCACATTAAGACTAAGACCCATCCGCGAATGAGGATATTCAAAGAATCAAGGTTGCGCCGGCGCTTGGTAGAGTTCCAACGAACCGGATTACAGCCGGAGTTGCTCCGTCGACGAACTTTACGGTCGCAGTGGCAGCGGAAGATTTCGGCGTAGAGTTCTTCCGCATCAACATATGTTTTGCCTCACAATGACGGCAGTGGGACATATGCCGAAGCCTTGCGACAGTAATAGTATGCGCGTAACGATATTGGGTGTTGTATCCGCCATTAAGGTTCGGGTGTGGAGGCGGACGCTAAGGGGCTCGTCCCCACCATGTCACCCTTGCCACCGGATCACGAGTTGCGGAGTGGAGCATCTATCGGCCTGCGGAGTAAGTAGCACCCGCAGTAAATCAGATGATCTAATATTTTCACGGTTGTAGTGTTCAAAAGGGCAGGTCGGATAGACCTTGGTATAGTAGAGACGTCACGTAGAAGGGCTAAGTGATTATTGGGGATGTAAGTCCGCCTTGGGCATTAATATTGCACACATACTACTGTGTTAAACTACATGCTTAGAAGAGCTTTGCAGAGCCTAGCATTGCGCTGCTACCCTCGGTCGTGTTACCTGAAACTGTGCCATTGGCATCGGCCTGGCTTAACCAAGCAGCCTTCAAAGACCAAACACCAACACTGGCGGTCACTGTTTCGTTCAAGCCCGCCACCCTCAGCATCATCATGTCGAGCGGTTGCGTAGGGAAGAAGACTGCGGTCGCACCAAGCTCGCCTTCGTTCAGGAAGACCTCAATAATGCTCCTGTCGATGATACCCGAGATCTTCCATGAGCCCTGTCTATCGTCGTATAGACCGGTGGCAGTGAACTTGTCGTTGAAGTAAGGGCTCTGGAAAGCCTCAGTCTTTCCGCGGTCCAGCCAAACATCGCCAGATGAGAGGAAGGTTCCACCTGAGATCGACTCGCCGGAAACCGAAGATTGAAAGGTGAAGCTAATAGATCCCGCGAGCGAAGGACCGCCAGTGAGTCCAGTGACATTGACTTCAAAGTAAAGTGCGCCCGACTCGACGGTGGAGTAGTCTACGAAGGCAGTGCCGTTACTGGTGATTTCAGTGGAAGCGAGCTCCTCTTCTACGATCGACATGATGTTGGAGGGGTATGAGATCAAAGACAGACCCTGGCGAGGCAGATCTTTGAGGTAATGACCTCTGGGTACGGTCATGACGCTACGGAAGCCATCGCCGACTTCCTCACCAGCAGTGGGGACGACGTTGGTGTACTGCCAGTTGCTCGCCCAGTTGAGCGTGATCTGGTCTTCGTTGGCGGGAACACCGTAGAAGAATTGACCGGCGTAGTTGTCCTTGGCAAAGTCCGTGAGGCGTGTTCGGGCGTCATCAGCTTCGAAATGCGTGCCGTTGAAGTTACCAACGAAGTACTCCGTGATAGATCCGCCGAGAGGAGCTCCCGGGTTGATGGAAATCAACATAACATACTTGGACTCGTCGCTAGTGGAGTTCTGCACACGCATCTCAACCATGTTCGGGCACTCGTACTGCAGACCGGTGATGCCGTAGCTGGAGAAGTTGCTGGTGGGAGTCCAGTCGATCAAGTTAGGGCTTGTGAAGATGCCGACCTTGAAGTCGATGGGGTAAGCCACGACCATGACCCAGCTCTCAGTAGGCTCGTACCAGATGACTTTCGGATCACGGAATTGAGTAGGGTTGGTGCCACCGGGAACGATGACAGGGTTGTTCTCGTACTTGGTGAAAGAGTATCCGTTGTCGTGGGAGTAGGCAATGTGCTGGGTCTGGTTCTCTGGAACATTGATGGTGTAGATCGCGACTACGCCGTTGGTCTGGTTCGGGAAGAAGCCGCTGGTGTTGTTGTGATCGATGACGGCAGATCCGGAGAAAACGCCCTCGGTTGGACCACCGGGGAAGATGGCGATGGGCTGGTTTGTCCATGTGTACAGGTCTTTGCTGGTCGCGTGGCCCCAGTGTTGGTTTCCTGCGATGTTCTCGGTCGGGTTGTACTGATAATAAAGATGATAAACCCCGTCTTCGTCCACGTACATGCCGTTCGGATCGTTCATGAATCCAGCGGGCGGGCTGAAATGCACTTGAGGTCGAAGCGGCTCACCGTAGTCGCCTGAAATTGGGACCCCAGTTGGTACATTGGGTTGCGAGTACGTCGATGTGCTTGAGGCTGAAGGGGCTGACGAGTTCTGGGCATGTCCAAACGTGAGCAGGCCACCGATGGCTGCGAGTACAGAGAGATGGGAAGGCATGGTGAGATGATTTCCGGTCCGATGCCGATCAATTAGAGATATACCGCCAGCTTTATGCTTCTCGAAGGACGGGATGCATCCGGGACTAGAAGGCAAATTTTCGCATCGCCTGTGATGACAAAACCAGATGTGGACGTGCCCCGCATGTCTTCCTCCATCTTACTCCGCTTATCACCCCATGGGTACCAGCATTTTCGTATCCGTGTACTGTAACCGGTGGGTGCATGATGAGGTTGAGCCGGCATCGAGGGAATTGGGCATATCGGAGCTTCCAAGTACGTACCTTCTCCGCAAAATCACTCAAACACTACGCCGCACCCAGCTAGATTCTGGCCTGGGGTAAACGTGCGTTCTCGCTTGCCCAGGTTTACTTTTAAGCGTTGGGTTAGGATTGATGGGACCGATGTGCAATTGCGTCAACGGACGTGCTAGCGCGATGCGAAATCTTCCCGAGAAACATTCCATGCTCCGATCTTGTTCTGTCAGCAGCAGTAAATGAGGAGCGTCAGTGCGCCAAGACAGAATGTGCGGGAATAAGGCCACTTGAGCCTCAAGTTCTTGTCCTAATGCTGGTGTTGTTGGAACTAATGTATTGGTATATGCCATGGCGACCCGCTTGAACGAAGACCAAGCCCCAGTCTGAGTCAAAAGCGCACTCCGTTCTTCAAAGTGCGAGCGCAAAATCCCAAACTTGTACTTTTCGTGTGCCGAAAGGCCCACCTTGCCTGATGAAAAGACTCAAGACGTTGAATTTATCCAGCCTATCTTCGTCCACCAACGGCTCACCAGCAGCGTTTGGTACCTCGGCCAACTTCTTCCAGTCGTTGTATGCTCCGGCGGCTGTCGCGGCCCAAATTTGCACAGTCATCTTCGGTTGATCTGGTAGGATCGCGAAAACGTTGTCGCCTACGGCGGCGATTTTACCTCGATAGGCAAGATATGGTGGTGTTGACAGACCAGGCGTCTTGATGGCGGTCTTGGAAAACTTGCCTTCTGGAGTCCGGAGATAGTGGTAGAATTGCGCCGTCCCTGTTGAATTATCGCGCATGAGGACATGGAATCGGCCTTTTTGGTCAGCGCACTGGGCTTCTTGGTTGATGATCTGGCTGTTTTGTGGGATTGAATACACCTTGATTCCAGGCGTAGATGGCGTTATCGGCTTTGCTACAGTTTGACCATTAGTCTGTTTCCAACTCTTGCCATCATCCTCCGACAAGGCGAAGTAGAAGTCGTGGTTCGTCGAGGGAGTAGGTGTCTCCCTCACCGTCCACGAGACGAAGAGCTTTCCACCCTGGCTGCTGATGCCGTTGATGTATGCATTGTTGTCTTGACCTTGGAGATATTTGCCGACCGCGCTCCACTGCCCAGATGTTGCAGAGTATCGATGTATGTACGAGTCACCGGCGCCAGACTGACCAATACGGAATTCCATCAGAAGATCGCCGTTGTCGAGGCGTTCGAACCGAGGGTATGTGAGCGGCGTCCATGGTCCGGTTGAGCCAGGCAGACTGTGTTGGACCGCTCCAAAGGCGCTGGCTGTCCACTGTTCGGGGATTGTTTTAGCGATGCCTGTGTTGCTCGCACGATAGTTGAGTGGTACGTCGTGATGATCGAAGCTCAAATGAATCTTGCCGTCGCCGCTAATGCCCATGCTGATAGTGTTGTGTTCATCGAGAGTCGTTTGCACATAGTCTGTGAACGCAAAGTACTGCCAATCACTCAAAGCAGGGTTGATTTTGCGCCGACCGAGGTTGACATGATGTTTGCCATATCCAGAAGCTGTCTTGTAGAATGCGACGTATTGGTAGTCGCCAAAGGTGGTCAAGGCGTGTTGTTGGAAAGCAAGGCCATTGAGACGGACTGAACCCTCCACATCATTCGTGATGTTCCAGTTCCTGGTTGAAGTGATGGAGATCGCAGAAGAAAGCGTGACGCAGCACGCGAGTAACGAAGAGAAAAGTCTCATGATTCTTGGCTGAGCTCTAAAAGAAAGGCTATGCTCCAATTAAATACATGCCGGCTACTACATAATGAGAGCCGGCAATCAAAGACGCGGATGAAATTCTCTTAGTGTCCATTTCTGAACCGTGTGACCACTTCGTGTCCCCTGAATTCTGGCTGGTTGATGATATCCAGACTTGGTCGCCTGTGGAAGGTAATTCTTGCGGGTTGCATGGACCTGCATCGGCATTTCGGGCTATCGTCCCATGATGCGGGGAAGCTGGGGAGATGGCATGGTGTCACTCGGTGCCGGAACATGATTAAAGCGAAACACTCATCAGAGATATAGCACCTCAAACAGGGAAAAGAATGAACAGATGCCTTGCAGTCTACAATACCTAGGTAGTCTCGCAGTGAGAATTGAGATTACTCCAGCACAAAGTAGACTTCCGGACCAGGAGGCAGGTATTCATCTTTTCCCCAAACGTAGTGACAGTCTTTTTCAATACGATTGATGGGAAGC